AGGCTTTTTAATTTTGCTTAGCGATGTTTTCACTTAGCAACGTTTTCCCGGAACGGATTAACATCGCTAAGCAAGGCACCACTGTATTTGTCCTGATTGTGTCCCATTCAGTTTCAGTGGATAACTCAGTTAGGTTCAAGTGTTACAAGAGAAGGAGGAAAGCTTCTCTCTGCCTACGTTCTCCATTACATGCATAGTTTCATACCTTGTTATTCACCTCCCCTCTTTTTTAAATTAAACAGTACCAGACACGACCATCTTTCCAGATTAGAGTAACCTCAGAGTAACCCTTTAATGGGCCTTTCCCTACTGTACAATATACTTTTGTAAGTGCGGCGCCAAGAACTGTACATAGTATGGACATGTATTAGGGCAGAATGATGCTGGCTATTTTATCTCTGCTTCCATAACCTTTCTATAATTTTTATTTTCTTCAATTACTAATTCTTACATTTTCCTTTTTTATTCAGCTAAAGATATGCCTGTGATACTAGTTTTAACAACACTGAATCTTTATTATTTCTTTACTCCATTAAATAAGGAGATGTAAAAATGCATCTGTAAAATTCCTAATGACATGCCTCCAGTCTTGAATCCTGTCACATGAAAACATTTCCAGAGTTCCATTTTAACCTCCGCACCTGCCAAGATCTTTAACTGTCAAAAACACAAACTTATATTTGCATTTAAAAATCTATACAAGTAGGACCTATGTACAGATGTAACAAATGCACATTTTCTCATCCCCAACAATAAATGTATCTTAGTACAGAGACACCAGGACAAAAATAAATCAATCCTTAGGTGGTTTTTCACTCCTGCATGTTAGTAAAAAGACCAGCACATTTTTAAATAAACAGTAGCATTACCAAAAACCAATCAACAAACAAGTGGGGTTCTGCCCTATAAAATCTTTTTTTAAAAGTCCCAAAATGTGAGAAATTTATAAAAGTTCTTCTAGTCTCACACAACAGGAAGAAAATATTTGACATTTTCATTCTCACCTGAGAGAATGAAATAAGTGAAGATTTAAATCTCTAAGTCCTGGGCTTGCTGCTTGAAATTACCCAACAGCTTTGTTTACACCGATATTTTACAGCGCTCAATGGGTTTAATGTACATAGCTAAGTCTGTGTTGGAAACTCTGTAACCTTTGCTGGATTAACTCCACAGGAAGTTTGCTTGACCTTTACTTTAGACAGAAAAAGCAAGAAAAACAAACAATAAATACTCACAATGTAGTATTGTGTAATTTGTAGTCAAAGAGGTTTGAGAGACAACAATATGAAGTAAAAGAATAATAATGCCTCAGTCCAAAGGAGAAAGGGGAGAGGAGGAGGAATATTTGTTTATGCATGCACCCACTTGTGAATACTCAACAATTAGAATAATAATGAAGTTCTTTATAATAAGGTTCAAATGCACCTAATATATATTAGAAAGAACTTCACTGATATTATTGATGATACTGTATATATTTTTGGAAGCTGGATTCACATCCCTCGTTCCCCAATAACCAACTAATCAATTTAATGTTTTTGAAATTCTCTGCAAATGGAGCTCCATACTTGCTGGACTCATTGGTTCATATGGATCTCCTTCTAATGAGACATGCATTCAAAAACCTACTTATCTGTGTAGAATACCTCTAAGTAGGTCAGGATAATGCTTTCCAAAGGGAAGCATTTATTCAAGAAACCCTGGCAATATTTGACAAGTTTTCACATTTGCCTTCCACTGCCCTTTCCTAAGAATCATTGACTTCGTTCATAGCAATAATTGGTGAAATAGAAGGAGTGTCCCAAGGAGGCTTTCCTTGAGCAACAACTCTGCCTTGTTCAGAATTTTTACAAAGTACTATGATCTTCCATCTGCATTTCTTTCTTTCTTTCTTTCTTTCTTTCTTTCTTTCTTTCTTTCTTTCTTTCTTTCTTTCTTTCTTTCTTTCTTTCTTTCTTTCTTTCTTTCTTGGGGGGAAGGTGAGGAAAATAACAGCATGCTGATTACCAGCAGCAGATCTGGTAGCGCTCTGTCTGGAAGCACCCCAGAGATTCTGCACGTGCATTCACATGGAAGATCTTGAGCACTAGTTGTACCAATGCTCCCTAATTTTAAAGTATCTTAAGTGCACAAGCATACTTTAAAAGGTGGACTTTAAAAAATCATGAATAACAACATGAAATAACAATGAAAACATCTTGGTCTAAAACCAATTGGTAGTCCCAATTAAAGTAGACTTATTAAATCAATGGGGCTTCAATAAATCAACACTCATCTATATCCCACTGGAGTCAATGGGTCCGCCCTAGCTGGGATTAATAACTAGATTAAGTCTTTTGTTGAGAAAATTTGTCTTAAAAACCCCTTTGTCAAAACAGCATTTCATGTTAAAATAATTTAATGAAAAACAAGCAGCATTGTTTTAAAAGGGTTTGGAGGTTATTATTTAACTCCACTGCTTAATATGTACAACGAATTTCTTTCACTTTTATCTATTGAAGATCACTTTTACAAAACTGGAATGTTAAAATAAACAAATGCTTAATTTAAAAGGTTACAATGTTTCATCAGTAACATATTTAAGCAAGTGAATAATTGGTTATATAAAATCTTTTGAACCAGGGGAAGATTACCATGCAAGTCAATTATGACAAAGAAAAGTAGATAAATTGACAAGAATTGTTGTGTCTATTTAATGGGACAAAGTCCTAAACTATAGGTCTAGAGAGTCTGTTTTAATATATAATCAGAAAAGAATATTAATGGGAAGTACCTGCCAGCAGACTATGTATTCCCTAGAATTACGGCCGATTTATTGCTGAAGTTTGTATCTTTCTTTCAGAAGTCAGCCTACTTTGAAAGGAACAATGCCATCTTTTGATGTAGAAGACCAGTTTTTCACATGATAAAGCGATCTTATGAAACACACAGATGAGATTTTAGTGAAATATCACATTACCATATACTGAAAGGACCATTTGTAGTTATTTTCCGTATGTAGTCGTTTGTGAATTTGCTAAGTACATTCACAAAACCCCTTTTTCACACTACGTGGGAGCAGGCCTTGGTAGGGACTCTTTTACCACAAAAATTAGTCATGGCAACTGGCTTTAATAAATAAAAGTGGTTATATAATTTGCTGCAGATCCTGAGACACAAGAAAACCCAAACTGGCATGCTAATGATGGTTCTCCAGAACTTTCAGTTAGGAAAGAACTATTAAGGCATCCTCTTTCAGATAAACAATAAGTATACCTCTTTTTAGCAATACAATACAAGTATCCCTGAACTGTCTACACCACTGGTTCTTAACCTTGGGTTACTCAGGAATTTTGGACTGCAACTCCCAGAAGCCTTCACCACCAACTGTGCTGGCTGGGGTTTCTGGGAGTTGCAGTTCAAAAACATCCAAGTAACAAAGGTTAAAAACCTAGGGTCTACACCATTATTTACTTAAAGCAATGGGTCTCACATTAGCTTCAGCATCACATGGGATTACCTGAATTGCATTTTGTAGAAGAGAAAATTCAAGATTTCCCTCCTTGTCTTCACAGGGTGCAGTGCTATGTATTTTGAGAAACAAATGGTAAACACCTCTATGCTTGTGAAACAAAAATGGCAGTGGCTTACTACAGGAACAATCATTCCCATTCCAAGATCAGCTTCAAACAGTAAAACATACACTCTGTGAACCAAGGCAAAGAAAGTCCTAGACACATTCACTACGAGGACAGTTTCTCTATCATTGTTTACTTATGCTTTTATGGCGTCATTGCCTGATGGATTCCAGGCATTGTAATAGCCTCAAAATTTAACTTTTCAAAGTTGTAAATTTTCTCTAGCATTTATGCATGCCTCCTGAAGGATAATTAGTAATGCTGGTGTTTAATACAAAAATACAATGCTACTATTCTGTTAGGATTTGTGTGAAGGGCTCATTAGGAAATAATATAGCTGAATTTGAATCTATGTCATAAGTAGTAAGAGCAAACATAATGAAACCACAAGAGAGATACACAAGGACTGAGCAAATGACATAGTGAAGAAAGAACCTGTGTATGTGCCTCCAAAGAGACCTAAGAAATTCACATCTACAGACAAGAAGCAATAAATGTGAATTATATGTGTTTTGTTACAAGGGCTGCTGAGAGGATGCGACAATGGATCCAACTACATTGCAATTCCTGACTTACACTTCAGGCCATATATTTAAGATCTCTTTTGACAATGATAAAATCATCATGTGGCAGCTTGGCCATTTTATATGCCACACCATGGCTCTTGTTCCATTAGTACTTTTACCAATAATGACAGAAGGCACCAGAGCAAGAGTGGGCAACTGCAGACTTTTTGAGTCTGGCCGCAAAATTTAGGTTTGACTTGCAGCCTGAGAATTGACTTACAGACCAGAAAAAAACCAATATGGAACAAAAACGGCCTGTTACGGGATTAATCGGTTTTCAACGCACTGTAGGTCAATGGAGACTTGACCTACAGACTTTTTGACTTGAGAACCGCCTTCCAATACGGATTAAGTTCTCAAGTCAAGACCCCACTGTAATGACAGAAGGCACCAGAGCAGGAGTGGGCAACTCTGGCGTCTGGATGTTTCACTGCAACTCCCATGAGCTCTATGCAGCATGGCTATTGGTGAGAGATGTAGGAAATCACAACCAATGGATAGCCATAGCTGGACCCTCCTGCACCAATGGTCACAGTTCTCAAAATACATTGCTTACTTGGTTAGAAAAGTGCACTATATTTATCACCCCACAAAAACTCACACTTCACAAAAGAAAAAAACAAGACTACCAGTTTCAGTCAAACAACTTTTCCTGGCTGCCATCCAGCAATTACTTTCTTCATGTGTTTCTATGATGATGTAATGGAACCTGGCCACATTTGCCATATGACTGCTGACTAAACATAGGTTAGACACTGAACATGTTTTCCTTTAAAAAAAAAGAGTAAAGAAAAGTGGTGAGTCATACTATACTTACAACTCTCGGCCTGGTAGTCTGGTACAAACTGCTCATCATTGTCAGGTACCTGAGCTGAGAATAGGGTAAAGGGGAAAACAGAAAGAAAGAAATTAACATAGACAAGCCACTAAAACATGAAACAGTTCTTTTAGGGCTATCTGAGGCCAAATCAAAAAGAGGACTATTATTCAATACAAACCAAGTAATGTATGAGAACTGATAAGTAAAGTTGTCCTTTGGAAAGTCTGCATTTGAACCTCTGCCTAGGAACTCCAATTGACAATTGACTCTCATTATGTTGGGTCCACATCAAACCACTATAGTATTTATTTCATTAAATAAGGGGGCGTGTTAGCTAGCAACAGCCTTCATTTCTAAGCTACCTACATGCAACAGTTACTGACACCAGATTTATGCTTGCATTTCAGGCAACATTTTGGAGGTACATCTGCATCTCTGTTGCAATAAATTAAGCTACTATTACTAGGAATAGTAATAGCAGGTCAACCATAATACATGCAAAAATCGACGGAAGCTATTTATGCTGTTACATTTGAACAGCTGTAGCACTTTCTGAATAGAGAAACATTAGAGTGGAGCTTGTGAAATAGGAGATTAATTAGAATATGGAGAATACCAGAGGAGTGTATGTTTGTGCTTTTAACTACAACACAGAATTTAATACTCTCCCAAAAATGTATTTGTCAACCAAACATTCATCCTGGTGAAAGTTTGTTTTATAATCACAACCACTGTTGGAATCTCTCTCTCACACACACACATACACAAAAATTCAAGCTGGTAAATTAACTCACCACTGGTGATTCAAATCTAAAACCAAGGTCAGTTGCTTTTAAAACAAGATACCATAACAGGTACTGATGTTTTCTGGGTAGACAGGTAAATTAGACAGCTGTGTCTGTATGTATATTATGAGGATAATATACATGGATAGACAGAGACAGCGAGAACCAGAAAGAACACACAGACAGATGTAGGAAGAATAATCCACACTATGGGACTATTACAGCACTAATGAGCGAACACAGCATTAAGACACCTTTAAATGAGATATCTTCATATCATTAAGGACTTTGCTGACACCAAACACGCACGTATGCACAGCCCCTATTAAGGTTAATGAGAATCATGTTCATGAGTCAAGGAGAACAAAAAAAGGGAGAAGGGGGAGCTGTGATTCTAAGAGCTTAAACTTAACTAAGGGACTTGTGTTTGTCCAGTTTTCTTCAAAAGCTACATTCCAAACCATAACACTAACTGTTCTAAGAACAGTCTGCCCTGCAATGCAAAGAGTTGTCATAGACATTTCTTCGAGATGTTTATCATGGGATAAATTTCCCCGCCTTCTGCATCTTAGCCTACGCTTCCAGTTCACATTTTATCACTATCATCATTTGCTCATAATTTTATTAACTGGACATAATTAGACTCCATTACTCTCGAGATACATATGAGGCAGCATCAGGAGTAGGAGTACAACACATATTCCAATTACATTAGCATCTGTTGCTTACGTATTGCAAGATCAAAGGGATCACAGCAACTACTAGCCCTTAATGTGCAAACAGCTTATGGGGGCCAGGCAATTACCACCCACTGGGCACACAGTTCTGTAGTGGACACAAGGGAGTATGATTATGTTCATACAGGCACACTGTGTAGGAACATTGGGTCTCCAATCCAAACAGGCAAACTACAGTTTATGCTGAATCCTTTACATTACTCTCCTTATCTCCACAGAAAACTGCCTACTGCAGTTCCACACATCCTATATTTTTAAAATAATTAAACTTCTAATAGTGCATATGGTTAATTAACCTTTTTTCTTCATCTAGATGAAACCACAATGTCCTTGTGACCGACAGACTGCATCCTGCTTTTCCTTCAAGAAACTTTGGGTAGAAGTTTTGCCTGGAAGTACAGTGGACTCTCGACTTACAGACAGCTCCACTTACAGACTTTTCGAGTTACAGACTTCTCTGGCCGCAAAATTTAGATTTGACTTGCAGCCGGAGAATCGACCTACAGACTGGAAAAAAAAAAAAACCAAAATGGAACAAAAACACCTGTTACGGATTAATCGGTTTTCAATGCTTTGTAGGTCAATTGAGCCTTGACCTACAGACTTTTCGACCTACAGCCACCGTTCCAATACAGATTAATTCCGTAAGTCGAGGGTCCACTGTAACCCTTTGAGTCAAGTGCCTCACTTTATACTTTTACAATATCTAATGCTGTGAAGTTGATTCCAACTTATAGTGACCTTCTAGATATAAAGTACTGAGAAGTGGTTTTCAAATCCTTCTTTCTGGAGACAACGTAGCTGGCAGAGCATATAACCTCACCAACCACATACATTGTGGGTGATCTCAGCTTGTCTCTCTCGAGACACAGTGATGATTCAAACTCCTGACCCCCAGCTCTGCAGACAGGTAGAGACATTCCAAAACACTTGATAGGCTAACCAAAAGTACACACACTCATACAGTACATATATTTTTTGGCTCCCTGTCTTTTAAAGGCATTACCTCTGCATGAAGTCTGGAGGGTTTTTTTTTCATGCTAAATATAAGAATGAAATACAATAACCAGATAAATTTAAGCAGAGATTTGACGCTGAATTTCCTAATGCCAACTCCCGTTGTTCAATCACTGCATTGTGCAAGTCCCAGGGAAGATATGAAGTTGGCAGCAGCATTCCACAAGGTGTTTATTCACATAGGCGGTTGTGTAGGGAATTTTTTTTTTTGCATTGAATAATTAGTCAACTGGGGGACAATGGTTCATCAATGGAAGTCCAATGGAAGATGAGGCTTGATTTTGAAGCACACAACCTTCCATTATTGCAGGTATCTGAAGCAAATACAGTACTGCATATAGTTGTTGCAACCTGTTTCATGACTTGTTTCAATTTTTTACAGATCTTCTACAGTATAGTACAATGTAGCAGGTGGGTACATTCTAATAGCATTACCCCACATCCCAAAAAAAGAAAAAAAGTTTTTGTTTCCACTTACAAAAGATGGAAAAACTACAAGAGAAATCTTTCATTAGCACTGATTTTTAAATTAGATATAACATCTGGCTGAGTTTACTAACTTCTTCCTCATGATGTCAAACTGGCAATGGGGAGGGACCAACTGCTGCTTTTCACATGCATATATATATGATTTGTAGAAACACAATAAAAAACTAACAGCTCTTTAAAAAAATTAAATTACATTGTCCAAACCCAGGAGAAAGAATGTCTGAAGTCTAATACTTGTTGGGTTTTAAATCCAATTTCAGGGGGAAAATGTGCATGGGCTTCTATTCTGATATTCTCTGATTCTTCTCTGATACCCCAGAGTTTTATTTGATGCTATAATGATATGTTATACTTATCTTTAACAATGCAAACAAGGGCACTATTGATGGAATATAAAGTAGACATGAGAACCAGTAATGAATACTCCCATTTAAATTTCACATACGAATAACATTCAGACACTTTCATGTCCAACCATCTTATGCCCATGCCTGTTGCTGCAGAACCACTATTTCTTGATTTCTTAAAAAAGTAAAATGCAGTGGCTGCATGAACGTCAACTGGCTAGAAATGCTTTCACAATATCCCTCTCCAAAAAAAGAAAACTTCCAGTTCTGAATCTTGAAGGACTCAGAAGTCAAACCAGCAAGGAGACAGTTAACTAGGACTAAAACTGGGATGGCTGAAAAGAAAAATATGACTTTGGAGTGTTGTAACTGCAGGCATATTTATATATCATTCATTTCCTCTTTTCTTGTCATTGCCAATGCTGCAATTCTGTAAAGCTGTCAAGAAAGCCACAGTACTTTTGAATATGGTGACAGTGGTGGGGGAGGAAAGAAAGGGACACATCAATGCAACACAGCTGAGGATATGGAGAAGTGGGGATGTTTAAATGTCTGCAGTGGTCATTTCAAAGATGGAGACTATGTAATTAATGAGACTGATGAGCTTAGGCATGCGGCAATCTTAGTAATAGACTGAACAATAATATCAGGTCCATTCCGCATTAACAGACAAGTTGCCATCAATTCTCAGACTCTTCCTTGGGGGGGAACATCTGTTCTTAGCTTAAACCTGATTACTACCAAATGTTTTTCCTTAGCCAACATCCGTGTACCCCCTCCTTGATCCAGCTCCTTGCCATCTCTCACGGGTAGAGAAGTAAAGGAAACAATGTCTTAAGTATGATCTTTTACAAGGCAATCTCACTTTGGATTTTAAATTTCTTGAAATCTCTTGCTTGGTTAAAAATAGAATTACTCAAAATTGAAACAACTTAATAGTACAGACCCATATCTGTTTACTCAGCTCCACCTGTGTGCAACAGGACTGACTCAGGTGCCTGCCTACACAGGCTCATCCTCTTTGTGCATTTCACATTTTAACTAAGTATTAAAAACACTTTGTATTTAAAAAGGAAGAAAACTGAGCATGGTACTTGAATAGGACAGATGCTAACATTTAGTATCCAAGCAAGCCGGTAGCAGACTGGAAGATAAGTGCAATAAGCCAAGGATGAATTTATTTTCTTCTTCCCCAAACATCCCCCTCGCCCCATTAAAAAAAAGTATAGGGGAAGGAGGGAGAGGATGAAAAAACTAGGCATCATCCCATACAAAAGGAGTTGATATTTAATTAAAACCAGCTCTATCCACTGTAACAATGACCTGGAGCCAAACAAGGCAGCAGATGTATGAGTCATTCTTTCTGCCAGTGAATGAGACAGCTGATCTCCTAAGCAATTCTTCAAGACAAGCAGTCAGAACTCGAGCTCTGCTTCCATTCACAAAAACAGAATCCAACAACAAACATGTGGTCTCAGCTACAATATTTTTTTTTTTCCTATCAGGGTGTCAAAAACAGAATCCAACAACAAACATGTGGCCTCAGCTACAATATTTTTTTTCCTATCAGGGTGTGAAGGGAAGAGAGAGAGAGAGAGAGAGAGAGAGAGGACCAAGTCAATTTGAACTTTTTATATGAATACATCTGTTTCTCCACTTTTGCCTCAGAGATAGCA